TAATATTTATATCAATATTTGTCATTAGCAAAAATACGATATATAATATATATATATATATATATGTACTACTTTTTTTGGTTAACTGGGTCGAGGTAATCGATACGGACATTTGAAATTTCACGTATAATTAACAAAATAACTTTAAAATACTTGAAATATATTTGAATGATGAATATATCTTAAAACTATAACCATTAATATTTTAATAAGAACTAATATGAATAGGGTAATTAACATTTTTTAAACAAAATATACATGCGTCGAGATTGATAATCGAATAAAAAAGTAAATGAATAACTCATCTTAAATTTATTTTATCGTAATAAATATAAATAAATAATAAAATGTAAAATATAGATCAAACGTTATTTTGTAAGGTAAATCCTAATCAAAGAGTGATTAATTTAAACGCAAAATAATTTTCCAAACATGCTTTAAGCTTTACTTATACGATATAACATAATTCAATTGATTCATAAAAAAGTAACCGATAGATATTCCCACGCTTGAAGTTTTAGATGATTCATCAATGGGTTTTTATCTACTATAAACATAATTTACTACTTTCAATTATCAATAGTAGTAGATAGTAATTTTAAATGAATGAAATGATATCTTATAAGATACCTAATATATTGAAAAATCTTAAACACACATATTTATTATATATATAATTATAACAATTTATTAAATATAATATAATTAACGAATTAATAAATGAATGATATTATTATATTTATGAAAATAAATAACAAAAGACAAATAAATTTTTTCTTTAATATCTCCTCGTACGGAATGTTTCATAAAGGTTTCATTATGTTCGAGAAACTATTAATTAGATTAAATTTAGTTCATTAGCTTGTATAAGATATGATAGGAGGTAACGTTATGAATTTTGCATAAGATAACTTTAACAAAATTTTCCCCGTGAGAGAAATCTCTATCTCTCTCTCGTTCTCTCTTTCTAGAACTTTGACAGACAAATGTTTTATTATTTTCAAAAAGTCCCCCAACGTTTTAGGATATACTTTACGCAATCTGTGTGTCTTTACGTGATTTACGTGATTTCTCATAGTTTTTTTTTCCTAAAATGATCTAATGTAAGTAGTAAGTAAAACAAAATTGACTTTAAATTCTTGTAACTACAGAACTTTTTCATTTAATATCAGACCACCATAAATTTTACATTTCTTTTTTATTCAACTTTTCTCAAAGGGTTACTTTATTCTAGGAATAAAAGAAAAGATAATGAAATACCTAATAATTTCGAGTGTCTCGTATCTTTGTAATTTATACGTTTGGATAAGACTTTTACAAATTTATTGATAAGAAAAAATAAATAAAATCAATAGACACGTAATTTTTCTTATCCGTGTTTATTCGGATTAATAATTTCTGCCCTTTCTTTTTACAGGTGTTTCAATTTATCGTAAAACTAAATTGTATAATTTATCTCACTATTAAACATATTCGATTTCTGTTAATAATTAAAAAAAATAAAAATAGAAATTAAAGATCATTCATGAATCATATTATGAATCAAATTGAATTACACTATATGTATATATATATATATATATATATTATATAATAATAATAATTTAAACAGGATTTATGAAATTATCGTTCCAATCTAATTAATTACTCATTCATCGGATTTATGACCTCGAGTATTTTTTATAACGAGTATTGACAATACGTAAGAATAAAGTGTTTCCCTATTTTACGTCTACGTAATATTTTTGTTTCGTATGAATAAGGATGCACACGTAAGTTAAGATCCTTCGGATAACAATCGATCAAACAGGACTTCGAACGGTAATTAGGATGTAAGGCACAACACGTTTTAACGCGGAAATTTATTCCACGCAAGATTCGTAAAATGATATGAGTGTATAGGATATATATATATCTTTACTCCAAGTATAATAAAATTCATGCAAATTCACGACAATGAATCGTTAGATGAATTAATCATTAATAAAATGAATTAAAAATTAAACAATATTAACACATTGTTAATCAATAAAAATTATACTCGTGTGTTCGCGTATAGAAACAATTTGTATAATTATTAAATCATTTAAAGTGTCAAATTATCAATTTATAAACGTTGATAAAGTTTAATTGAAATATTAAGTATTAAATAATTACTTAATTATCTCTCTCTATATTTTATTTATGATGTTTAATAATGTTTTATTTATATATTAATTATTCCTTTATAGAACTTCTAATTTTTTTTTTCATTTAATATACAATATAACGTATTAAGTTTTTATATATGCAGTATAATAATCAGTAAACGCGTAGTGTTAAATTATTTTCATTTTATTATCAATTTATCATATAAATTTGTTGATTTGATTTATTGTTACTATTACTATCAATGTAATTATATAAAATAAATTTTACCAATGAAATAATCTCATATTAAAAATTCAAAATAAAACATATGTATATATATATATAGAATTATTGGAAAACTTTTTAAATTAACAGGAAATGGTAGGAAATTAACTCCAAATGTAAGTTCTATACAAACTCTAGTTGCAATTAATGGCCAAAGTAGAACCAAAACAATTTCACGTAAATGGGTGCTTTAATAAGGTTGCAAATATACAGTCTAAGCGACATTGAAATTTATGTAATCGACGAAGAAATTATTGTCGCGTATTTTCAGTTAATTATCAGCCTCATTTATTTAATATAAATATAATAAAAATAAAAATGTAAAAGAAAAGAAAAATATCAAACATTCTATGAAAGAAGATTATATTTTAATATAAAAATACTTTAATAAGAATATTTTCACAATAAGTTTAAAAATAAATATTTTACGCGTGTTACATAAGATACAGATTTAAAATAATTAATATTTATTCCTATGAGAGAAAATCATTAATATTGATCGCGTTTTGTTAGTACCAGTCATATAATTATTTTAATAAAAATTCACAGGAAAATAATAGATATACAAGAGTAGTAATATTCGTGGAATAACAATTTCAAGTAAATTTCGTTTATTTCAAGTGAAAAATGGTTAAAGTTCGATAAGGTGTCGTTGATAAGGTATTTGGAACGTTAAATATTTATGCGAATAATTATTTTGCAAAACGACCGTTTTGTGTCGACCATCGTAATAAAATGTTCGATATTCTTTGGACCGTTTTAAAAAAAAAGAAAACAAATTAACGAATATACGAGAATAAAAAAAATATAAATCGGGAATGAATGGGGGAGGGGGAGAGGAAAAAAATTACGTACAATTCATATTTTCATTTACTTGCACGATTATAAATTCTATCAATCATTTTCTTAAATTTCACTTTGCAAAAGATACGAAACGTAAATCTGACCTAAAAATGAAGTTACAGTTTTTATAGTATACTAATATAATATAATATACTATATATAATTAGTATACTTGTTATATTATATTTTGTATATATAATATATACTATAATAATATATTTATTATATTAAATGATCATTAAAATAAAAAATTTATATTGTAGAGTAAAACAAACGTAAAGATAAAAATATAAGTAATAGTTTGGCGAGAATGTTCTGTTTTAATTTGTGATTATCAGATGTGTTTATGGTAAATCTTCATTATCGTAGGCATCCTTGAGAGAAGCTCGTGTCTATGTAAGAAAAATTTATTATCCCAGAAGATGCTTTTAATTTATGTTTCTTCGTTTTCCTTCCGTTTCTTATTAAACTCAACAGTTTTACATTAAATATTATTGTTTAAGCATTCGAATCTCATTGTCAAATGAGGACGTCTAGGTTTCTAGAGGAATATTTATCATCGAGTGACCATCAGATAAACGAATATTTTTTTGTTATAACAAATGCGTAAACGAAAGTTATACAATTTAAAAATCCAATAAAATGACCAAAACTTACGAAACTTCAATAATATTTCTAATGTAATGGCAGAGTTTATATATTGTTGTTTTTTTTAATTGGATTCGCTGTAAATTAAATCTTACATGTTATTCGATATAACAATAATTTTCTAATTAAATTCGACATTGATAAATAATTTTTACGCGAATTAACATATACATAAATAAATATTTTAGCTTACGTTATCGTTGAAGTTTTTAATTCATTTAATCAAAATCAAATGTCTAAATTAAGCATTTAAACTACGAAAACTAGTAATTTTTTTTGTTTTTTTTTTTTTTTTTAATGTCTGCTTTTATTCTTTCCACAAAAATACTCGTAGTTATACTTTTCTTATCGTTTTCTATATTATAAAAATCAATATTCCGTTACTCGTACTTTTCTATCGGATCTATAATCTACGAATGAAATTACAATTTCATACTTTAACTATCAACCTTTCGTTAATACTTATATTATCCAGTAATAGTTACCTTCTTTCGTACATTAACACAGATCATGATATAACTGAGTTTTGAAAGTGGCATAAGTCACTTTTTCTTCTGCTTTTTTTTTTTTTAAAAATGAAAAGATACCGTTCAATTGTAATTAGTGTTGCCATTAACTAAATTTTTTTGAAAAAGTGATTTATGCTACTATCAAAATAAACGGCTCAATTATTTCATATCTAAATTGTTATTTTTTTCATGAAAAAAAGAATTATATTTTTATTAACACCTGATAAAAATACTCTTCAAGTATTATCATCGATCGTAAGTTTTATTATCCTTTGAAAATTCCATTAACGAACCAAAAAAAAAATACATATATATCTCCTTTAATCGTTCTTATCATCCTGAAACAGAAAAAAAAAATTCAAACCAATCGAAGGAGAAAAAAATCGAAAAGATATATGGTAGCGTAAGCGTGTGATATGATAGATACCGTTTGAACGGTGCTGATGAAGTTTGCACAGAAATTGTAATCGTTGACCAATCGGCAGGGAGGCACGTCGGGCGATTGGCCAATCAACGAGCGGTTCTTATCGTACCGCGTACGAAATATCGAGTATATAAACACTTATCTTGCTAAGTTAAAACCTGAGTTAGTCAAACAGGTACACGTCGCGTTGGTTATTGTTACTCGTGTAAAAAAAAGAAAGAAAGAGAGGGAGAGAGAAAGAAGACAATTAAGAAATAATACCCGTATAAAGAGTAAGATAGAAAAATAACAAGAGAAACAGAGAGAGAAGAAGATAATTAAGAAATTATATTTGTATAAGAGTAAAAAAAAGAAAGAAAAAGAGAAAAAAATAAAGAAAAATAAGGGAATAGAGAAATAAAAAAAGAAAAAAAAAACAAAAAGGAAAAAAGATAGTAAGAAGATAATTAAGAAATTATATCCGTATAAGAGTAAAAAAAAAAAGAAATAATAAAAAACAATAAGGGGATAGAGAAAGACAGACAGAGAGATAAAGAGTTCGAAGGTGAAAACAGATAAAAAAGAAAGAAAGAAAGAGAAAAAAAAAAGGAGATTAATGCTCGTTTCAAATTCTTAGAAAAAGATATTCTATATACACACAGAACAAGAAGAAGAAAAATAAAATAAAATATAATAAATAAAAAGAGAAGAAGAAGAAGGAAAAGGGGAAGAGAGAGAAAGGGTTTTATACCTTGTATTGGGTTACTATAATTTGTTAGAAGGTTGTCGTTCACTTTATCCAAAGGTATGAGAAAGAGAGATAGATAGATAAGAGTGAAAGAACAGTCAAGGAATCTGCGGTCGGTGAGCGGATGTTGTTTCTCTCTCTTTCTCTCTCATACTAATTCTCTTTCTTTTTCTCTCTCTCATTCTTACTTTATCCAACTCAAACGAGTATATCGTAGTTAATAGTCGGCGTGTCAGTCGATTGACCGATCGTTGCACGACTCGGATCGGTTTGGCGGGTGTCGTTGTTAATTTTTAAAACGGGGAAAAAAACTGACACATATACGCATACGCGCGCACACGCGTGTGATCGTAAATTCTTTTTAAAAAAAAAAAAAACAAAATACCCCCGAAAAAAAGAAGGATTAAAAAAAAAAATTAATCCCAAAGTTCTCTCTACAGTGGCACAACGTATATCATTTCGTCATTATTTTCTTCTCTACTGTGAAAACTCTTATAAAAGATAAAAAAACGTAACTTATCAATATAAATAATTAATAGTAAAAATAAATAATTAATAATAAATAATATAGATCGAAATGGCTATTGGAATTTTATTGATTTCGGCTGCTACAATTGTTGCTTTGGGCAATGCTGCTTCCATTGGCAGTACGAACAGCAAGGTCACGGACGATTGTACCAGGTAAGCGAAAGGAAAATCTGAAGGTCTTTCTTTCGAACTCCAATAATTTAGATTTATAATATAATCCTTTAAACTCGTTCGATACGATAATAATATATATATACTATGAATTTATTAAATGTTGTATCATTTTTAATGAACTACGTTTTGCATTCTATGATTTCTTTTTCTTCTATTATTTTTTCTTCTTCCTTCATATGAAAAAAAAAAAAAAGAAAAAAACAATTAGAGGAAATGAAAATTGCATCCTCGTTTATTTAATTTTGTTATCTTTTTCTTCATTGTTATTATTCTTACATTATGAAAGAGATTAATGTTTGTCTTTCATGCGAGAAACGTAAGAAAAAGCCTCGCTATGTATATTTCGTATTCTACATTTAAGTTTGCAATGAGTAAAGACAAATAGATTTATACGAAATGTTTCTTTTCGATTCCGTACACCTGTTCGTTACTCGAGTTTCTCTTTGCTCGATAGAAAAAAAAAAACGAAAAAGAAAAACTTAAAATGTAACGTTGTTGCTATTCGTTAAATTGTGACCATTTCAAAATGCAAATGCTTAATGTTATCATTTTTTTTTTCTTTTTTTTTTAATCAATTGAAAATACACGTACAGGAAATACGACATTTCTGTGCGATCGAAGAAAATAATTATCGTGTACTTATTTTTTTTTATATATGATTTGCCATTTGAAAAAAAAAGAAGACTGGAAAAATAAAAGAATAGTTCTCATATTCCTCTCAATCTAATCTTTTAGTTTTAAGTATATATTTTTAAGATAAGTATATACAAACATCGCATACCGAGATAAACTCTCTCACTTTGTTATCTGTTTTCGAAAACAATTTAAAAAAAATTATTTAATAAAAACGTACAGGGCATAGCATCTTGATTAAAAAAAAAAAAAAAAAAAAAAAAAAAAAAAAAAAAAAAAAAAAAAAAAAAAAAAATAGTAAAAAAAAAAAAAAATATTAGTTAAATAATATTACTTCGTTTATCAACTAACGTTGATAATTCCAAGGATAATCGGTCTAGTATAAAATGTCGATAATATTACTAGANTATTTTTAAGATAAGTATATACAAACATCGCATACCGAGATAAACTCTCTCACTTTGTTATCTGTTTTCGAAAACAATTTAAAAAAAATTATTTATGTGGTCTCTACGTGACTTTGCAAAATTTCCTAAAAAAAAAAAAAAAAAAAGCAAAAAAAAAAAGAAAAAAAGAAAAAGAAAAAAAATAGTAAAAAAAAATAGAAATATTAGTTAAATAATATTACTTCGTTTATCAACTAACGTTGATAATTCCAAGGATAATCGGTCTAGTATAAAATGTCGATAATATTACTAGACATATATATATATATATATAATAATATTCATGACTTTTAATGCACGAGCGGTTATTATTATTTTTTGTTCTTTCTTTATTTTTGTCTCGTCGCAATAATAAATAACCAAACGTATTTTGGACTCTTTATTAATCGCGGTTTCGACTGTTTCTCGATAAAAAAAAAGAAATTTTTTTATCGATCATATTATAAGTACGATATAATTCGTTTGTTCATTTAATTCCGTACGATTTGAAAATTAAATTGCCAATTTGATATAATTCATTTCAAAATATATATCATTTCCTGTCGAAACAATTGTACTTTTTACATTTCATCAATCCTTTTTTTTATTCTTCGATTTGTAATTTCAAGTAATCTAATGTGCAAGTTATCCATACTTTCATCTAACGATAATAAATCTTTCCTATCATAGTTCTAAGATAAAGAAAAGTTATCGATTACGAACGAGGAAAAGAAAAAAATTACCAACGATATTTATTATAATACATAAATATTTTAATCTGCCACTCGAATTATCGGATTTTTATCGTATGAGTTGTGTTTAATCGGTACATTTGTAAAAATCACACATTTATTTTTATAAATGTACTTTTCTATGACTTAGGTGTTTTTTTTTTATTTTTTTTTTGAATGAACTACTTTTACTGAAGTACATGTTCATTGTACATTAATCAATACAAACAAGGCATATCTCTGTTTGAAGTAACACGATTGTTATCTATTTTTTATTTAAATATCGTTTACTATGATGACGTGATTTATGTATGATCTTTAATATCCCATCAATTTGTAATTTAACACACATCATATTATTATTTTTTAATATTTATTGAATGTTCAAATTTGTAATATTTCAAATAGAATCAACGCATATGCATAAGATCATATTTTATCTCTCTTTATGACATTTTTATACAATCATATCTTTTATGAAAATAATCATACAATATTAATACGTGAAAATAATTATCTTCGGATACATGCTAAAATAATCGATAAAATAATGCTAACGCCTATTGTCATTGAAACAATATAAAATAATTGGAAATAATTTTGATAGAAAATCCTTAATTGGATTTAAAATCTGATAAATTGGATAAACTTTGATTAAAATTATCGCGTGATACACTTTTACGGGAAGAATTTTTTTTACAATACGCGTAGAGTTTGTCTACTTTTTGTTTTCTTTTTTTATTATTATTTTTTTTTTCTCAATTCACATCGCGAAAAAATAATTACAAATCGAATGAAAAAATTTGTCGAAAGAGAAAAGTACGAAAAAAAAGGGGACGCGTTGCGAACGATTTTTTTTTATTATAAATGAATTTTTAATTGTTCTTTTTTTTCTTTTTCTTCTTACAATCGCGGCTTTCCGAACAAAGTTTTTTATATCATCGTGGATTTGTCGTTAATAATATTGATTAATTATCATTGATAACGTTGATCATATACTTGAGGGGAAAATAGAAACACGTCGAGTTCGTACAAATTTGCAATTCAGAGATCGTTTCTTTCGTAATGCTCATTGATTAATAGCAATTAGAGGTAATAATGATTGTCTCATTAAATTTCTAAATTTATATCATTTACTATCGTCATTCTTTTTCTCTTCTGCTTATTCTTTTTCTGTATTTTTTGATTTTTTGATTTTTTCTTATTTCTTTGTAATTTTTTCCTTATTAAAATGTCAAAACACACTTAAATATAATATAACGATATACAATATACAAAAAAAAAATATAATAATATATATGTTTGTATATCATTACATTATAGTATTGTTATATTATTATATTATTGTATATGTATATATGTGTTATATATTATTATATAATAATAATAATAATAATATAAATATATTATATAGTTTTGATTTTTATATTTATATTTGTATTATTCACGATAATTATTATTAATAAATGTGGTAGGAATCCCATCAATTCAATTTTGCAAGTGTTGATTTCCATTGGTGGCGAACGATAACTGCGTAACATTGATTAACGATATTTATGCAAGTTAGGATAAGCGTAGTTATTCTCTGGAACATATATGGAAATTAACTTATCGCGAAAAGTGAGGGAAAAGAAAGAGGGAAAGAGCACATCTGTAAAACAAAAAAAAAAGAAAATTCCCAAAGGCTATCGACACTTGGATTTAATTTTTTCCCTTGTTATTTATTTTACATCTACGCTATACTTACTCAATCGATTCATTTTTATCGCGTTATAATGATCACATTTTTTAGGATTTTTTTTATTCGATCACACATTCAACAAATTTTGTTTCACTTAGAATCTGACCTTTCTTGTTTGGAACTTTGCATTAATAAAAAAAAAAGAAACTTATATTTTTATATCAAAGTAAGATAAAAGAAAATTATGTTTTTTTTTTCTAATAAAATAATTTTATTATTCCATTAATTTCTACTAATTGATATTTTTTTGTCTCATCTAAAAATTACTCTTTCATTAACACAACTTACAAATATATATAAAAAATTATTCGACATTTTTTAACATTGCTTTTTATAAATAACCGATCGAATAATCAACAATTCGCGTATCTATATTTCAATGGAAAATGAAAAAAAGAAGAAAGCTTCGTCCAATTAGCGATGATCTTTTTTTTTTGTTTTCTTTTATCTTCCTTCTTCCTTAATTTACATTTGATATTCGATAATTATATTGAATGATGATGCGATATCTCAAAAATGTGACCTCGAAAGTATATTAAAATCATACCCGAACTAAATAGAAACCGAGGTTATTTAAAGTGCCCTAACTAGTTTGTATTAGTTGAAATTCTTCGATGAAATGAGTTTGCGTGGCAACGACAATGACCTTTTGATGAAATCATAGGCAATTATGGTGATATTTATTATTTAAAAGATACGAATGGTGCTATTTGGCGCACCTCAATGCATGTAATGAATACAATGACGATAAATGCACAGTATTTTGATAAATATGCAATAAGTTACTTTCCATTTAAAGGAAAAACAAAATGAGAGTACACATTTCTCTTCGTTTTATTAACATAGGCGGGAAGGGGGTGTTGGGTACGTGAAATCGTAAAATATCATTGATTGTTATTATATTATCGATCAATATTGTGTTTGCAAGGAATACTCATAAAATCATTTCTAAAGGAATAATTTAAATAAATTACAAATAGAATTCTAACTTTTTGTCTTTTTTTCATCGTAAACGTTATTCTACATTTTCTTTCGACAATAGAAATGTGTATTTATTTATTCTCTAAATTAATAGATATAAAAATTGTATATATATATATATATGTTACCGTCGAAGCCGGAAATCAGTCATTGCAAGTCATTCCTCGGCATTGTTATCAATGCAAAGCGTCTTCAGACAAAGTCGGAAATAAGACTTTTTACAGAGTTTTTCATAAGCATTGAACATAATACTTTGATATTCTGTAGATTATATTTATATATATTAACACGACGTGACAAATATATTAATTTTTTTCTTTTTTTAATTGAAAATCAAAAAAATACTTTACCGAATTTTTTTCTTTTAATCTAAACTTACTTAGAAATAATTCAAGCCCTTTTTCTTCCACTTTCCTTTTTAACGAGTGACACCGAACAAAAGAATAAGAATCGTCCATTCTGAGAGAG